GTAGTCAAAGGTGATGGAGGTCCTGTCAGAGAGTTAGTTTCAGTAGTTAAAGGTGATGGAGGTCCTGTCAGAGAGTTAGTTTCAGTAGTTAAAGGTGATGGAGGTCATGTCAGAGTTAGTTTCAGTAGTTAAAAGTGATGGAGGTCTCCTTATCTGTCCAGACTGGACTTTAACTGCTCTTGAGGGTTTGACGACAGTTTATTCAAGGTTTTGGTGTCAAAGAGCTCTGCAGTGATTTACGCTCTGGGTCCGGCTGTTTTAATGTAGACATAGTACCGAATAGGTTGATCTCCATGCAGTTCTCTCGTCCACCAGCGTTGTTCGGTTCTCCTCTACCCCAGCTGACATAGTCAAACCTGGACCCGTCACTCCACATCCAAAAACCTTCCTGCAAATGAGTAGAAAAGTAGATTTTTATCAGCGACTCAAACCCCAGACGCTTCGGTCACGCTCCGAACAGCCTTGAACTGAAAACCTACGTTAAGAACTTGTTTTTTACACGTCTCTCTACAGGAAGTTTTCATTCCGTTAATTATTAACGTGAAAATATTCTTTGGCACTGACTTGTACTGCATCGCTGGCTCCGACCCAGGTTCTGGGGTGGTACCCTGTGGCTCTGTAGGCGAGGTTCCTCAGGAAGTCGTAGTCACTGCGGCTGTGGAAGGAGGCCAGATTTCCCCCGAGTCTGTGGCAGGTACGCTGAAGATGAAGACAACTTCCAAAATTAACAACAATAAACACAATAACATTAAAGAGCTGGAAACCACAGAGATGCTAAATTTTTTATTCAGCTACTCATGCATCTACAACCAACTTCTTCTTTCAGCTGTTCCCTCTTCAGGGGTCTCCAGGAGACTCCACTATGTCCTCACTGTCCTCTGTGTCCTCTGTCCTCACTCCAACTACCTTCATATCCTCTCTAACTACATCCATGTATCTCCTCTTTGTCTTTTTCCTGGCAGCTGCATTTCTAACATCCTTCTACCAGTATACCCACTTTCCCTCCTGTGGACATGTCCAAACCACTGTCCCTCCTGTGGACATGTCCAAACCACTGTCCCTCCTGTGGACATGTCCAAACCACTGTCCCTCCTGTGGACATGTCCAAACCACTGTCCCTCCTCTGAACATGTCCAAACCACTGTCCCTCCTCTGGACATGTCCAAACCACTGTCCCTCCTCTGGACATGTCCAAACCACTGTCCCTCCTCTGGACATGTCCAAACCATCTCAGTTTGTTTGTCTACTGGAGGGTTCCTTGTTCTTCATCTTTAATCTACTTTTGGATTGAACCACCGATCGGCCATCTTTATCTGTCATTTAATTATTCCAGATGTTTTTTCAAGGGGGGGCTGAGCCTGAAGAGACTAACAGGCACGTGGAGGAAACCTTAATATCCAGAGAAAATTTGCACACACTGCACACAGAAAGTCCCCAGGCCCAGACCGGAGTCTGAACCCAGGAGCTTCGTGCTGTGAGGCAACAGTGCTAACCACCAAACCGCCGTGCTGTTTAGCCAACTGACTGATGGGGTCATAAAGGAAGATTAAAACCATGAGCGACCAGCTCTGGTACCTCAGAAGAAGCCCAGTCATATTGATGCCGCATGAAGAGGAAGCAACGTTTTCCATGACGGGTCCACCCTGAGGGACAACTGCAGGGTGCTGGGAAATGATGGACTGGACGGAGCGGATGGACCCGATGGACCGGATGGGCCCGATGGACCGGATGGGCCCGATGGACTGGAGGGACCGGATGACCTTTGAGAAGAGAGAAACATGTGAGATGGATCTGAGGTTCAACATCTACCTTCAGTCTGAAAGGTTTCATTTTAGCTGCTCATCACGAGAGGTCATGAAACAAAACATGACGTCTGTCGGTGAAGCTGCTTTCTAGAAACCAACGAAGAAGAAATGAACTTCTGCACAACTAAAACTTTTAAATAGTATAAAACACAAAGAAGCAGCAAAACAAGCGTTTTTCTTCATGTCTGAAACGTTGCTAGTTTTACCTGAAGTTCATGACAACATGTATTCATGAATTTATCAATGGTGAATAATAATAACAATAATAATAATAACAACAACAATAATAATAATAATAATAATAATAATAATAATAATAATAGTTTATTTTACAACGCTGCCAGCAGGAATCCAGAAACACCCACCTGGTCTTGAACATCCGGCCTGTGGACGTAAAAACAAAAAGATCAGAGCTGAACGTACGGCGACTCAAAGTTTAAAACATTTACGCTCAGTGTGTTCAGCAGCTTCATGTTTTTTTAAAGCAGATGTGCTCGTTGGAATCAGTAAATGTATTTATATAAAATAAGCTTCTTTGTAATGTTCATCGTTTAATGTGTTTATTGTTGAATAAATAGACTCATTTATTGTGTGAAAGCTTATGAAGCATTCACACTATTGTTTTCCTGTTTATATTTATTAGTCCAGGTTTCTTTAAAATATTCCGTTTGTTTTTCAGCATCTAACTCATTCTGCAATTTTTGTGCTATTTTTACAAATCATAAATCAAAACGTTCAGCTCTTTCAGGACAATCCTGCTGTGACTTTTAGTTTTGGTGCAACTTTAGCTGTTTGTTTTAGCCTTTTCTGACTTTTTTTTCTCATAGAAAATAAACTGAGCTCATTTTACCTCCTTCACATCTTTAAATGCGTTTACGACCTTTTACTGCTCCTTTCACGTTTTGTTCTGCTTCGGCTTCTATCAGCTTCCTGGAGCAAATTTAAACTTTATTTCAGCTACTTTCAGCTGTTTTGTGCTTCTTTCAGATTCTTTTTGCTAACTAAAACATTTTTATGATTCTTCTAAGTTCTTCCTGCTAATTTCAGCTTGTTATGCTCCTTTCAGCTTTTTCTGATAGTTTCAGATTTTCTGTTATTGTAGCTACTATTTAGTTGTTAAGTTCAGCTTTTTCAGCTAATTCTACATTTTTGCACTCATTTCAATATTTTTCCAGACCTATTTAGCAAAAACGTGCTCTTTCCACTTCCTTCTTGTAGTTTAAGCTTTATTCTGCTTTTTAGCTACTTTTCAGCTGTTTTTTGCTCATTTTAGATTTTTAAAAGGTAATTTCCACTTTTTTGTGCTCATTTCAGCTTCTTTCAGCCCAACTAACCAAAAATATGCCCTTTCGGCTTTCTTCTGCTTATTTAAGCTTGTTCTACTTTTTCAGCTAGATTTTTAGCATTTTTAGCTAATTTCAGCTGTCTTCAGATAAATTCAAGTTTCTTGTGGTGATTTCTGCTACTTTCAGCCTAATTAATTTCTTTCTGCCAATTTCAGCTTGTCATGCTCATTTAAATTATTTCTGCTCGGTTAATCTTTTTTCTGCTCTTTCAGCTACTATTTAGCTGTTTTATGCTAAATTTACCGTTTTCAGCTAATTCCACATTTTTTAAGCTCATTTCAGCTCTTTCCACTTCCTTCTGGAAGTTTGATTCTGACTATTCAGCTGTTTTTGCTGTTGCTAATATCAGCTTTTTTAGCTAATTTCCTAATTTTTGTGCTCGTTTCTTCGTATTAAACCTAATTCAGTAAATATGGGTTTCTGCTTTCTTCTGCTAATTTCCTCCTGTTTTCCCTTTCAGCAACAATTCAGCCTGTTTTTAGTATATTTCAGCTGTTTTTCTGCAAATTCTTCAGCAATAAGCATTCACACTGCATCTTCACAGGAAATGTAATTTCTCTAGTTTCAGTTATTGTTGTTAAGAAACTCGTGCAGCAAGAATGTAAAAGTGTCAACGCAGGAGAAAAGTTCAGTTGATGTTTCGATGTTTCGGCTGTATTAAAGCCAAACTGTGCTTGTGGCACAGCTGGATCAGCGTGCAGCGTTTAAACATCTGTCAAAGCAGTCGCCTCCTCCTCCGACACGCTCTCGCTCGGTTCAGGCCGTCTACACACAAAACTTGTTTCATCAAACTTACGTCGGCTTCGTCCAAGAGTCCACAGCTCAGAACGAGGAGAAGCGTGAAGACAACAGCCGAAGCCATCTGCGGAGAGAACCATGACAGTTGGATAAAGAAACATTTCTGGCAGGCTTGTTTCTCACTGAACATCTGAGCCACACCATGAGGGTGAAACGAGCGCTGGCAGCCGTACCTTGCAGTGATTATCAGCCGAAGAGGTTCCAGTGGCAGCAGCTGGTGACTGGATGTCCCAGAGGAGGGAACACCGTGCTTTTATACGTTCACTTTGTCGTCTCCAGACAAATAAAGGATCCAACAGCAGGCAGGAAATGAAAATGTTGATATCAGCTTTCGTGCTCGGGCTCTCGGGTTCCATGAGCAGAACGTTGTTTGAGTTCTGGATCAGCTCCGATGGGAACCAAGTGGTCTTCACCAGAACCTGAAACTAGATCAACGTAACTTCAGACGACCAGAGCGCAACATTTAACACAACTCACTGTTGCTGCAACAAGACAGGCGAGCCTACGTGGTTTGTGTTTCTGTTGTGTCAGCAAAATATCTCATGAACCAGTGGACGGATCACGTGGAAACTCAGAAAATAAGATCTGGATATTTTCATATTATTCTGTATCTCCACCAACATCATGTTTCAAGTAATTACGACAAGACGGCTGTGGCTGAGTGGTTAGAGCGGTCGATTTCCAATGGGAGAGTTGGGGGTTCGATTCCACCAGCAGTCACATGTTGAAGTGTCCCTGGGCAAGACACTGAACCCCTCACTGCCACCTATGTGTGTCTGGTTGGTTGGTTGGTTGGTTGGTTGGTTGGTTGGTAGGTAGGTAGGTAGGTAGGTAGGTAGGTAGGTAGGTAGGTAGGTAGGTAGGTAGGTAGGTAGGTAGGTAGGTAGATAGATAGATAGATAGATAGATAGATAGATAGATAGATAGATAG